AGTTATTTTTTTAATTGTAAAAGCACAGGCTATTTCTTTCTATTTTAGAATAAGCATATACTTAAAAATAAAATATAAAAATAAACTAGACACTGCAGTATTTCTCTTTGTATGCGGATTTATAACAATGTTTATTTCTGCAATTTTCTCCTGGTTGTAAGAAAGCGCAACACTATATAAATAACTATAATATCATAATGTGTTGTTTTTTTTTAATTGTAAACTCACAGGCTATTTCTTTCTATTTTAGAATAAGAATATACTTAAAAATAAAATATAAAAATAAACTAGACACTGCAATAATTATCTTTTTATTCGGATTTATAACAATGTTTATTTCTGCAATTTTCTCCTGGTTGTAAGAAAGCGCATGGACGATTATTTGAAATAAAATACAGTAAACTAATAATTAAATTTTAAACTGGAAAGTAAATTCAATCAAGAAAAAATTCTGGTGTAGTAGGCCTACTAGTACAAATCTGTGTAAAAAAACCCACCAAAATAATATAAATATTCGACATTCCCAAAGGTGGCAAAAGGCCGGGTGGCAACGGGCCTGGGTGGCAAAGGGCTTAGGGTGGCAACGGGCCGGGTGGCAAAAGGCCTGGTGGCAAAATGCCGGGTGGCAATAGGCCTGGGTGGCTACCGGCCTAGCGTGGCAAAAGACCGGGTGGCTAAAGGCCGGGTGGCTAAAGACCGGGTGGCAACAGTACTGGCCTGGGATGTCAAAAGGTCGGGTGGCAAAAGGCCGGGTGGCAACGGACCGGGTGGCAAAAGGCCGGGTGGCAACGGGCCGGAACCTCTTTGTTATAATTAATTTATTAATTTGATTTAAATGATGTTGAGCACGAGAGGCATGAAGTTGCCTCTTTTTAACCTCCTTTTATAAAAAAAAAAAAAGAAAAAAAGAAAAACCAAATTATATCATTTTGGTTTTCCATCAAAATTTTGTTATTTTGGATAATAAAGAAAGAAGAGAAAGAACTGATTAATCTCATCATTAACGACCAGAGCAACCCCCCCGATTGTTTATACCATGACAGGATAATTGTTCAGGGTGTTTAGGTCTTCATGTCTAATGTGCGTAGTGTGTATTCAGGGAAATGTCCAACTGACCAAATTGCCGTCAGTTTATGAATTGTTTTTTTTTTTTTTAATAAACCAATAATTTTTATTTCTCTGACTGAATTTTCCGCGCTATTCCATACCTTAACCCCTATATAACATATACTATGTCTGTCTCTTATACACATCTAGATGTGTATAATTTTTTTTTTTTTTTTTTTTTTTTTTTTTTTTTTGTAAGGCAGTAATATAATTTTTTTTTAAATTTTTAGTATCATAATTATGTGTGGATTCAATTGTGAAAAAGTAAATGTCAAAGGCAATTGGAAGCTGTTTGTTGTAAAATTGATAAAGGAGTATTGCCAAATGTTTTTCATAAAGGTCAAATATATTTAATGTATTAGTTTGTTTAAATAGTGGTTGTAAAGAATACTGATAGTGGAATTTGAATATAATTCGCAGTGCTTTTTTCTGGAGGATATGAAGTCTGTTTAGTCTGAACTGAAGGGGCCCCATACTACTATTGCATATGTTAAATGAGGCAGAAAGTTGGTTTATATATTTGCAGTAGTATTGTGTAAGGTAAAAAAAATATTTAAAATTTATTCAATGTTCCTATTACCCTTGAAAATTTGTTTGCAATTCCATCGATATGGTTATAGAAGGAAAGAAATTCGTCTGGGTAAACGTCTAAAAACTTGGCATGGGTTAGCTCTTCAAATACAGAATTATTAATAGATAGTTGAATGTTTGTGAAATCAGTGGTATTATTACACCCCATAAAGATTACATATTTAGTTTTCTTAGTATTGACTGTGCCCTCAACCATGTTGACAGGCGTTGTAATTCACAGTTCAATACGTTACTTGCAACTACATAGCTATGATGTTTGAGAAATATGCTTGTATCATCCGCGAATATAATAAGTTCTACGTCTTGCATACCAAAAAAAGTGTCATTGATAAATAATAAAAATAAAAGGGGACCAATAATGATCCCTGTGGAACACCAAGTGTTATTGATTTATGCGTATCAATGGTAACACACTGTGTTCTGTGGTTCAGAAAACTCCTGAACCCGTCTAATACAATATCTCGTATACCATAAATCCCGTTTTTTAAAATCATTAATCTGTGATCGATAGTATCGAATGCAGAGAAACACCTATAATAAATGATAGTTCTCAATGGTTGACGTTGGTTTTTTTTTCTAAAGTTTGTAACAAGGCGTGTATTGTTGAATGTTGTTGAGGAAACCCATATTTAGAATGGTTTATTATGCTATATTTATTAAGGTATGAAATGGGTTGATCATAGACAACTCTTTCATATACAATATTTTGAAAAGGTAGGGTAAATTGATATGGGTCGATATTAATGTTTTGTTTATCGCCACTTTTGAATACATGTATAATAGTTTTAGCAATTTTAAGTTTATCGGGGAAACTGCCAGTTGCTAAAACATGATATTTATTGGTGATGTTTTTGAGGCAAATATAAGACTACAGTAAATATATTCAGTGTGCAATGGGTACTCCGTTATGTGGTGGCGTTAGAGACAGGTACGGAAACAGGCTGCTCATACATTTGTTGACGAGAGACATGCGCAGTGACGTAAGCTGCGAAACAGACTGCGATATTTTTTTAGATCTGAGCATGCTGTACAGAATAACAAAGGAGATTTATTCATGTGACGTAAGCGACTCGCGACACATGGCTAAACAGGTACTGATTTGCAGTGGTTTTTGGCTGTTTTTTTTTCGTTGTTATCCAATGTTCAGCCTAAAAAGTAGCGAAATGTGGTCGTGACATATGAAAACCCCAGTGGGAGGCGGGGGAGGGGCGAGGGTGGTGCGTGTACACCGGTACTCCCCGAATCCTAAAGCCTGCAATCATGATATAGAATGACAATATAAGTAGTAAGAAGAACAATGAGAAACCTCTAGATACTTTAAAAATGCTTAGAAAGCTATGGTTATACACAGACGATGGAAAATACCAGTTTTTGATTTTTTGGTCGCTGAATGATAATAATATATTTGCCAAATGCTAAAGTCGCACAATGATGTAGTTGTCAAATGCTAGAGTCGTAGAATGATAAATTCGCCTACCGCGAATAATAAATATCGCAGCAAAAATGATATTTGCGCCAAAGGAAAAGACGCCGCAGAAGGCACTATGGGCTATTATCCTTTTGGCACTCTATAGAGTACTACAGTGTCACGTGATACTACGCCATTTACTTCATGGACAAACCCATTAATCTCAATTTCTAACGTAATTATTAACATGTTGTATCTTACTTTTTCCTTGTAAATTTTAATTGATGATTAAATGTATTCGATAACTAATATAATGCGAGCCTTTGTATTTTTAGTACAATTTAATAGAAAAAATATTAGATTTTAAAATGCCTATTCCAGAAAGCCTATGAAGTCGTTCAGGCGTAATGAAAGGTACCCAACGTCTTTTGACAACAGAGAGCGCAACCTTGCGTCGTAGCGACACGACTGCGGTACTCTAGCTATAGTCTCACCAGGCTGTTACCTGGTCTCACTAACGTCGCGTTAGTCGTGAAATTGGTTTTCATTTTATTTGTATTATTATTGCTATTATTATTATTATTATTATTATTATTATTATTATTATTATTATTATTATTATTATTATTATTATTATAGTAATAATAATGATAAAATAATAATATTATTATTAATATAATTACAGTTATTATTAATTATTGTTATTATTATTATTATTATTATTACTATCATCATTATTTGATATTATTTTTTTTTTTTGCACTGGGTTGGCTAGCACTGTGGTCACTTCCCATGTTGGAACTTTTTCATGCTTTGCCGAAGCATAGACCATAATATCAAGGGTGTGCCTTCTATTATTTAGTGTCAATCTAGGGTAGGGTGTGCATGTGATGACCAATTTAAGTAATTTAAGGGCAAACAGTCTAAACACCAGATATTAAAAAAAAACGGACCAATTGACCTAAAGGAAACTTTCGCGAAAGTTAACCAAGTTACAAGTAAAGAATTGTTATGTGTTGTGGACGATGAAGTTAAGGGTGTAAATTTAAGGGTCATTTACATTGTTGGTGTCTCTTTAAAAATAAATCAGTGGGTATAATTAAAACTTGTATAACAGTTTTTCCAGGTCTAGTAAAGAAATTATTAAATTTTTGTGACAATCTTGAGTAACGTGTGGATTTGAGAACCATTCCAAGGAAAACATCCCAGACCAGATATTTCGAAAACTAATCAACTGATCTGAATAAAACATTTTGGTAAAGTTTAACGTTGTTACAAGAAAGAAATGAGTATGTGTTGAGGACGATCCAGTTTAGGGTGTAAATTTGAGGGTCATTTAAATTTTAGACGTCCCCGACCTAATATAATTTTAAATCAATGGGTATTTAAAATGAAACTTTCTATAACAGTTTGTCAAAGTTAGTAAAGTAAGGATAATTTTTCTTTGTGACAAATTGGAGTAGGGTGTAGATACAGTATGAAAACCATTCAAAGGAACCATCTCAGATCAGATATTTCAAAAACGATTAACTAATATGAATGAAACTTTCAAAAAAAGTTTAACCAAGTTACAAGGAAGAAATTATTATGTGTTAGGGACGATCCAGTTGAGGTAGTAAATGTGAGGGTCATTTAAATTTTTGAGGTATCTTTAAAAAAAAATCATGGATAAAAGTGAAACTTTTGCAGACTATTATTATTATTATTATTATTATTATTATTATTATTTTATTATTATTATTTAATATCATTATTATCATTATTATTATTATTATTAATAGGACTAGAATTATTATTTATTACTTAAGAATTATCTGCAACAATATTGCAAATGTTTACATAACTGATGTAATATGGTGTTTCTACTAATTAAACCTTCTATTCTAATTTACAGGGTATTGGATAATAACTTATTAAAAGAAATTCCGGTCGCTCTTTATAATCTCGACATATCGAGTACTTTGTAAGTATTCTTACCATACGTACCAATGCCACTATATTCTACAGCTTGGCTCAATTACTTCAAAGTATAATGTGTAGTTTTTATATGCACATAACTTTGTAAATGTGTTCAAAACTTGGAATACACTGATTATAAGAACCTGAAAATTCAATTAATAAAATTCATCACATTTATATTTTCCTCATTATTTCTAGAATCATCAGTATGAACTCAATCGACTTCAGCTCACATCCCAATAGAAGCATAATTGCCCACTCGCCGAGAACATTGATTATTGCAAAAAATGAAATACAATCAATTTCAAGAAATCATTTTTGTAGTTTAAAATCCCTGGAAAGGATGTAAGTGTTTTCTTTTAAGGGATTTAACTTACTATATCAAGAATGAGCCCATTAGTGTAGCTATTGCTAGGCTTTTCCATTCACACACCACCTGCATTATGTAGACAATGGGTCTAGATTTTTATAATATGTCCACGTAATTATGTTTTCCCGTAAATTAGCCCATTTGTAAAAATGTATAGTTAGGCCTAACATTAGTTAGATTTTACTCCTATAATGGATTCATTATTTAGTTTTTACAAATGAAGTGGGTTCTTTCACAAACAAACGTGTGTGCTGCCTCTTGATTTTTTTTTTCGTGCCCTGTGTGTATGTGAAATCCCTTGACTTTTGTTTTGTTCCACTTATAACTTGTCCTTTTCGGCACAATACACTTGGTATTTGCACTTCGTCCCTTGATTTTTGCACTGTGGCACTTTACTTTTACTGTGCCAATTGACTCTTGCTCTGTGCCATTTGTGTTTGTTTCCTTTTGACTTTTGCACTTCGCTACTCATGGTTTTCCGTTTTGTCATTCCAAAACTATCTCAAACAAAAGTTGTATAGGTTTGCAAAATTGACTGCAAAAGCATAGCAACAGTATGGACAAAAGAAGTTATATATTTGGCCTAACTTGTTAGTGAAAGTAATAATTAATGAAATAAAGAAATAATATTGATATAAGAATTATGTTTATTTATCTTATTGGACTAATACATTTAAATTGTTTTTTTCCAATTCTAAAGATTCATTTACATGAATAAGATATCATTTATAGAAAATGGATCGTTCAATGGAACCAGTCTCACGCATTTGTAAGTACATTTGTATAACTAATGGAAAGCGCTAATTGGAAATAATACTAATAAAATATTGAATTATAATTTGTAAAAAAAATATATAAATATATGTCCTAAATAGTGTAGTAATGTATTCTAACAATCATTTTTTTAGATATATATATGGAAATAGTCTCCATAAAATCACAGGTGGAATGTTCAAAGTAGGCACTGGTTCACTTCAATATCTGTAAGTAAAATATCAAGGTAGATTTACACCGAATCAAAATTTGGTTTCTATAGCTAACGAAACGAAAAATGAATATCAAATCAGTAGTAAAGAATAGAAGTAAAGTAATGTATATTGTTTCCTTCCAGATACCTATTTAATAATCCAATTGAAAACATCGACCAAGGCGCATTGTCCAATCTGGCTCCGAATGCAACAGTGTAAGCATAAACTAACTGTTAACATGTATCAAATATTCAAGTATTTATTATCTCATGTTGGTTACGGTATACCACAGTTTGCATACCGTACTCAATATGTATACTTACAGGCATATTTTATGCTAAATATTGTGTAAAGCCAATTAATGCTTAACTTGTAATGCACTTGTCAATTGTAGCCCCC